CATCAGTCGACCCAAAGGGAAAAATGATAGTAACAACTGTCCATGATGTTCCATACATCATATATCCCCCTTGCTCCATCTTTCCCTAAATAATACCCACTACCACAACCTTTTATGTCCCGAGGAGGTCTACCCCTCAAGAGCCTCTGACGCACCCTTAAGAAGTTGAGATTCCCTGTGATAAGGAGTCCCACAATGAAAAGGTCGAAGAAACAGACCAATCTCCCCCTTCTGACCTAGCAGTAATCAGTGTTGAAGGTAGACACCTTGTTCAAAAGAGCATAAAATTGGAAGGAGCATACAAAGAAGCTGACACATGGATTAATGAAGATAGGTCCTTGCCGATGGGGTGATCACATGCCTCACTAGGCATGGCCGTCACTTCAAGCCCATCCAACTCAGAGCCAAAACCTTGCAAGAGAGGATAGGGAATCCTTCCCTACGCCTCAATCCCTTACTGATAACCAGGATTTTGACACTCGGCCAACCCATGACGGGGCAGTTCCCAATATCCCTCATACCTATGACCTTCGAACTCATCTAGCTAAGATCCCATAATCCATATCTATCCTAGATTTTCTTAAGAGTTTTCTGACACAGTGGCACCAAATTGAGGACGTGCTCTGGAAGGCACATGTCTCCCCAAACACAGGACCGGAAGAACTCAGTGGGATGATCTCCCAGTTGATGGCCTCAACGCCTATCACTTTTGCTGACATCTATCTTCCTCCTGACTTCGATCGATACCATAATTGGGCGCCCTACATAGCCGTCTACACCACATGGCATGGGACTCCTCGAGTACTCATGCCCCTCAAAATTTGTTCGGCAAGGACGTTGGAGAGGATAAGCATAGACTTAACTCTTTTATAACCCTCTTAGGTCACCATTACAACTTATGATAGGAGTAAAAAGCCAACAAAAGGCATTATGCCCCTAGCTCCCACGATAGGACCTATATCCCAGATAGTGAAATTTTACATCTCAAAAGTAGATCCCTCATTCAACCTGCTTCTAAAATAGCCTTGGCTTCATGAAAATCTGGCCACCGCCTCAACACTTCACTAATGTCTCAAAATCCCTTTGGCTCAAGGGGTGGTCACAGTTTTTGCTAACCAACCCCAGACAATCAATCTACTCGACCTTGATCAGTCATGGGGCATCAATGACCTGGGGAGCAATGATGCCCCCTAGTAATATATGATGCACCACTTTAACTTTTGAGACGGACAATCCTGCCCTATAAAAATTAAAATACTCTTCTTATTTCGAACAAATTCGATTATATTACGAAATGTGCAATTACGGGTCGTCCGAAGCCTGGCACATGCTTTTAACCCAAGGCTTTCATGTCTGGCATGTTCTAAGAACCATGGAAGAGGGATATCTGTGGCACTCACAAAAGCCCCAAGTGCCAAAGGAAAAAGAAGGACAGAAGAGGGCTAGGGTATTCACACACTTTCACTAAGAATTATGAAGAACCCGAAGGGCCGTTTAAATTCGTCCTTAAGGGCATTCAAAACCCTGACTCTAGAAGCTCGGTACCTTTAAACCTGCAAATGGGAGACACCACTACTCTTCTCACTGAAGTCTCATGACTTCTGGACCTGGGCAAATGTAGTATTACACCTCCAATTAATGTTCTTTGTTCCGTGCACAATCCTCTTAGTCGAAGACCATCTTGCCCAGCTCAACTTCAGTAGTCGAGAGACAGACTCTGATTAAGGCCATGCTTTCTCACCTCCCAAGAGGGCTCGAAGTAAAATTGCTCCCTTGCTCTGATGACCTCCAACTCGCTTGAAGGCTTCCAACAGCATCAACAAATACCGATGCCAAAAAACGAGTAGGCGCATGGTATCCACAGGAATACCTTGTGTGCTCTCTCCCTCCTGTCATTCCTACTAACCCCTTTAATGTTCAAATTGATTAAAGTATGGACAAATCTAATCAAAGTTTGGATTTCTCCAAGAAAAATAATTTTGAAGAAGTAAATGGCTCAACACCTATAATGGAAAGCACAATTCATATTGATGAGTTGGACCTCTCCTTCTTGGATCAAGCAGAGGTTGAATCTGAGAGTGATACCTAACTGAAAGAGCTTAAAACCCACATCGAACTTTTTCGAAGTAGAAATTCGATGGCAACTTAATGGCTGTCGTCGAAGAGACATTTGATGTCAACCTCAACTCGGAAGATGACCTGAAGATCATCAAGATCAGGACTGCTCTATCATCTCAATAACAAGAAGAGATGATCGCCTTCCTTAATAAATATCAGGATGTCGTCGCATGGACATACAATGACATGCCCAAAATAGACCCTACTCTAGTGGAGCACCACCTTAGCGTACACGATAGGGTGGTTCCATTTAACAAAAGGCTAGGCTACTAAAGGCCCAACTGGAATGAAGAACTAAGGAGGAAATCGACAAGCACCTAAAAGCAAATCTCATCGTACCTGTCGATTATCCAGACTGATTGGCTAATATTGTAGTCGTCCTCAAGAAAGACGGCCAAATGCCAATGTGTGTCAATTTTAGGGATCTAAATAGGGCTTGTCCGAAAGACGACTTCCCCTTGCCTAATATAGATGCCCTAGTCGATAATAATGCCAAGGACGAGTTATTATTCTTCATGGACGGTTTTTTGGGCTACAATCAAGTCCGTATGGCTAAGGATGATCAAATCCTTCATTACGTCATGGGGAACATATTGTTATCAGGTAATGCCCTTCGGTAGTGGCTTCTATATTCCATAATATAATGCACATCAACATGGAGGACAATGTGGACAACATCCAAGTCAAGTCCAAGACTCGGGACGACCATCGAGCCGACTTAAGATCGGTGTTCGATCGACTTCAAAGACATCAAATTAAGCTCAACCCTTAAAAATGTGCTTTCGGAGTCGCTTCGAAAAAATTGTTAGGTTTCATCATCAATCAAAGGGGAATTGAGGTAGACTCGCTCAAAATCCAGGCCATTACCGAGATGCCACCTGCAAGGAACGTAAGGGAAATACGAGGCCTGCAAGGAAGAATACAAGACATCAGGCGATTTATCTCTCAATTAGCAAACAACTGTAAACCCTTCAACCGGTTATTAAAAAAAGATACGCCGTTTGAATGGGATGAGAAATGTCGAGAAGCCTTCGAGCTCATCAAACAATACCTGACCAATCCACCGACGTTAAGCCCTCCTGCTCCCGACAAACCTCTTGTATCTTTCTGTAAAGAACAAGACTATGGGGGCTATGTTGGGGCAGTATGACGACCAAGGAAAGAACGAACCATCTACTACATAAGTAGAACCTTGACGGACTATGAAACTAGATACATGGATGTTGAAAAACATTGCCTTGCCCTCGTTTGGGCAACACAAAAACTAAAGCACTATGTTTTGTCACATTCCATCATTCTCATCTCAAAGATGGACCCACTCAAGTACATCATCGAGAAGCTGATCCTTAACGAACGGCAAGCTAAGTGATGTATGCTGCTGAGTGAGTTCGAGATCGATTTTGTCAATTAAGTCCATAATAGACTTGGCAAACTTACAAACTTTCTATTCTTGGTCATGGACTTTGTAGCCCTTCGACTGTAATATGTAAATCTCTTCCTCAAAGTTCCCATTAAGGAATGTTGTCTTAATGTCCATTTGGTAAAGCTCTTAATCCAATTATGCCACAATGGTAAAAATAAGATGAATTGAGGTCATTCTTACCATTGGAGATAATATTGACTAGGAGTCTATCCCCTCAATTTGTGTGATTCCCTTAGCCATCAAATGGCCCTTGTACTTATCAAAAGTTCTATCGACCTTTCTCTTAACTTTCAGAACCCATTTGTTTTCAGATGGCCTTTCTCTCTAAGGGAGGATCCATGAGTTTCCATATTTGATTATTCTCCAAAGAATTAATTTCTTCATTAATTCTAGTAATCCATTTGCTTGCATATGTTGATCTCTGAGCATCCTAATGTGAACCCAGTTCGTCATCATCGATAAGATGAATGTCAGACCTTCCCCTTCAATCTCTAAATGTCTTCGGGGTATTCTGCCACATAAATGAATTGTGACTCACTCCTACTATCTTCAACAACTATGGGAGTGGAGAAATTTCCTCACTATCCGGTATTTGAGATTCAATCATCTTATAGAGGCCTATGGTCATCCTGAACCTCTTCCTGCTTGGGAACTTTGATTCAATGAGTTCCACATGAATCAATGAGTTCCACATCACCAGACTCAATCTCTCCCAGTCCACCATCTTCAAACTCATAATAAAGGACATACCATTTTAAGTTCTCAAGATACAAATGAAATAATTTAGATTTTTTGCTAGTCCACATTTTGTGATAGGCATAGATTTTGAAGGCACTATATTCAAGTTGTACACAATGCTCAATAGAGTATCTCCTCAGAAACTCAGAGGGCTATTTGCTTGTGCAATCATTGACCTCACCATGCCTGTAGGGATATGACTCCTTCACTCTACAACACTATTTTAATTTGGAGTATAGGACATCATTTGTTGCTGACTAATCTCATTATCTTAAGAGGACTTCCTGATTAGTTCAGAGGTTTACTTGTGCCCCATGTTTTGAGAACATTAATTCGCTTCCGTGATTGGATGTCAATCTCTAACTGAATTCTCTTGAAGGACTCAATGGCCTCATATATATGTGAGATCAAGTAAATAACTATAACACAAGTAATCATCCGTTGTAGGGTTTTATTTAAGTGTAAAGCATCCAAGTTAAAGATGGATGAAAGTAGGTGTTCCATCTAAACACAATGGAAACTAACGGTCCAAATGTTTACTTACTAGAGTTATTATTTCTAGTTTTTAAAATTTATTTATTTTTCATATTCATGATGGAGATTACATGTCCTTAAAAATTAAATCGTAAAATCCATCTCATAATAGGTTTATGAAGAGACCCGCATTTCTACATATGCGGGCTTGGCCACATAGAAACCGGGTACTTATTTATGCCGTTGATCCTGAATCTCCTCACTGATAAATTATGACTGACGCCGCAGTGCCTCCCCCTTCTCCAACACTCGAAGAAGATTCAGAAGTAGAGTTGAGGCGTTTGCTTCTTCCAGATCCCAATCTTCTCATTCTCTCTCCTCCCCCTTCCGCTGTCGACTCCAACTATGTCCACTACTTCATCGCCGGTACCTCTCTCTATCCCTCTCCCTTTTGCTTTTCTTGTTTGGAATCTTACGTCATCTGCAAATTGGTAGATTTTCTCAAGCCAGGGCACGATCAGTACATCTATCGTCATGCCAATGGGTGGGTAGCGGATATATTCCTTTTGATTTCGAGTTAATATTTCCTATGGTTCATACAACGACGGTAAATTTCAGTCCTCTTTTTCACATGGTTTTTCAGGTTGTGTGTCATTGGATTGGCTCCGACTCATGCCTCCCTCTCGGAAGGAGGAGTGACTTCAGTCGATTTCAATGTTGGCAAGTCTGATCGAAGCGAAATCAAAGTAACAGGAAAGCGTAAGAAGGTATGTGCTACATTGGAGCTTTTGATTATTTCCTGTTTGTGTAATTATAAAAACTAAAATGTAAATCCCTTTGTAAGGAACTTTTTTTAATATTGGCATGATTGGTTTTCAAGTGACTGTTGATTTTGAAAAATTGCCGACTCACAATTTTTATCATGCGATGATTGTTTTGTGCTTGGCCATGCAGTTTTACTCTTAATTTAAGATTTGTTTTTCGTTTAACTCTAATAGTTTCTAATAACTAGAAAAGATATATAAATAAAGATCGCAAATGTATAATGTGAGTATTTGCTTGAGTTTTGAGATCTCCTGATTGTGGTGATGAAATTAAAAAGGGAGTGATTTATTACATTGCTTTAGCCTCTATAGTTTCCTGTGGTGTCTTTCCGGGTGACCAATATAGAGAACATATCAATGTAGAGAAGCTTGTGTCATCCTAACCCATTTCTTATGCACGATTTTACTTTTTTAACCTTGAAAAGCAAAGTTCCCAGTCCATGCATCTATATGCTTTATTTGGTTAATTGTATTTGTTTAATACCCTTCTTCCTTCCTCAACAATCAGGTCTCCTGTTTCTAGACATGAATCTCCCCCTCTATCCATCTTTCCCCAACTGCCCGATCCCTTCCCTAGCTGTTGTGTTTGACCCCATTAGAGCAAAATGGAAGAATACCAAAGTGAACAAGCCACACCAAACTCGGCGTGAATTCCTACTGCTCAGCTGATTCAGAGGATATAGAGAGTTTAGAAATAGCTGAAGGTAATATTGATGACATAATCCTGGCCTTTGAGTATGAAGGTCCACCTAGAGACAGCAGCCAAGCTATCTGAAGCAATGGAATTAGGCAAAGTAAAAGTAAAGGTAACAGCAAGAGAGAACTTAATAATCTCTCTTGCAATATCACCTGTGAGAAGAGGCTTCTCCTTTTTCTTGTTCTCTCTTGTCCTTCTTCTTCCACCATGGAAGTTCAAACGACCAGATGCTTCTCAAGGTGGCAGGCCCCTCTTCTTTAGTAACATCATGAAGGTCCACCTTCATAGCTGCCTTTATGATATTCTCCAGAAATGCCTTATAGCCAGCATGGCTGCATTGTGACTTTATCTTTAGAAGTAGCCTAGTGGACCTTCCCCTTCATGGTGCTTCTCACACCTGGCCTATTGTTCCAATGAGCCCCACCGGATATATATATATATACCTTCCCCTTCATGGTACTTCTCACACCTGGCCTATTGTTGCAATGAGCCCCACCATATATATATATATATATATATATATCCTTGAAAGCTCTTGATAGAGCAGAATGGCGGACCAAGATTCGTATAACCGATCCCAATTAGTTGTGAAAAGGCCTCTGTGATGATGATGCTGATGATATATTTATCCCTGAAGGGGAGGAGATATTACTGAATGTTCGCACTAGATCCCTCCCTAAGCCCATTTAGGATCACACCCTCATCCTCCTTGATACATACCCAGCCGGTCTCAAACGGCCCCATAACTTTCTAGTTTGTAGCTTGATCATGCTGAGCAACCCCAGCTTGTCCTTCTAGAATGGTCATCCTTTTAAGTATATGGCTGGGTGGGAACTTAGCAGTAAGTTAAAATTGTTGAGGAACAATCTCAAACTCTGTAGTCACTAGTCTTGGGGAAAATTTCTGAGTTAAAAAGAGGCAGTTTTGCAGGAAATCAATGATTTGGATCCCTAAGTAGAAACTAGGGACTCACACGTAGAAAGGGATTAGAGGGTAGAGGCCTAAGGTGGAGTACGGGAAACTTCTTGAGCAAAAAGTGATATATAATAGTAACATGGTTCTGCGATTCGTTGTCTTAGAGAAGATGGTAGAAACATGAATTTCCTTCATAAGATTTGCAAAAATGCTAGAGGAAAGCTAATGTTATCACCTAGATTAAGGAGAAGGCAAAGTGTATGAGTAGCCATTGGACATCAGTAGGGTCATGACTAGGTTCTTGAGAGACTTTCCTCCACCCCTAGCCAGCCTAGGCTGAGCACTACTAATCTGTTACTACATGCCCTACCTGGAGAGAAGGCAGAGTGGCTGGTGTGGCCTTTCACAGAAGTAGAGATCCACAGTGCAGTGGCCAAACTGGGTTAAGATAAGGCCATTAGCCCAAAAGGCTTCTCTATTGCTTTGTAAGTTCTTGGACACCCTTGCCCCTAATATCTTAGTCTTTTTCTCAGAATTCTTCCACAGAGGGATCATCGATAGAGGGCTCAATGCCAATCTCCTAGCTTTGGTACCTAAGCAGGAGGGCATGGAGGAACTGGAAGGTTTTAGGCCAATCTGCTTGTGGAATAGCTCTCACAAAATTATATCCAAAATGCAAGGTTTTTTTGTTCAAGCCTCAATTTCTTGATGGATCTTTGATAACTTATGAATGATTCCATAACTGATGAATGATTCCATAACTGACACCAAACAAATACCGCTCTTCTTGTTCTTGGAGTTGATTGGGGAAATACTTAGAGCCATGTCAATTGGGATATAGTCGACATAATGTTCTTCATGAATGGGTTTCAGTACTAAATGGAGGACCTGGATTAGGGGTTGTATCTCCTCCCCTTCCCTTGGTCTTTGGTCCTGGTCGGTGGAATCCCAAAGCTTCTTCTTCCTCTCTTTGAGTGGCCTTCCCAAGGTGATCCTCTTTCCCCTTATTCACCACCATGGCGGAGATATTTAGTAAATCTATCTTAACCTTTTCAACAACAATCTTTTCCAAGGGTTTAGATAATCCTCGAGGCATGTGCCCAAATTCCATAGTACATAAATACAGTCGTCTTTTGCAAGGCGAGCCCTAAACAAGTTGATGAACTATGGGTATGCTTGAGTGCTTCAAAGTTGCGATTGGTCTCAAGATCAACAGGGTGAATACTAGTAGAAGTTTGTGTCGAGCCATAAGTTGTTTTGGAGTTGGGTAAGAGACTGGCGTGTGGCATAGAGTTCCTTTCTAGTAAGTATTCAGGCCTCCTATTCTGCATTGGTAAGCCTTGCAAAGCTCAATAGGATGCTGTAGTCAAGCAGTTTGAAGTTGTTCACAAGTTTAAGTTTAGGTTTCTGTTACCTTAATCAAATCTATGGTATCTAACATCCTCGTCTTCCATATGTCTCTCTTTAAAATGCACCATGGTGTGGTCATGAGTCTTGAGAGACTAATGAGAAGTTTTCTGTAGTCAGGTCTGGGGGTTCATAAAAGCTCCATTTTGTTACATGGGAGTATCAAAAAGAGGTGGTGGGCTAGGTATTAGAAACCCAACGGATTGTAACACTGCCTTAGGCAAGCGTGGTGGCAGTTCGCTAACCATGAAGGCATTTGTGGCAGTTGGTAATCCAATAAAGTTATATTTTAGATGGTTCGGGTTGGTCACACATAGGGCATGAAAGTGCATTGGCTTCAGGTGCCTGGAAAGGGATGGCTGGGTAACATCTGTTTTTTGGTGAAGACAATGAAAAAAATAGTTATGAAAGGACCTTTGTCTCAGGAACGTTACCATAGAATCTCGATTCCCAAGTTTATTCTCCATTTCTAGGTCCCAAGACTCTATGTTGGCCTATTGCATGAAGAAATTGGTGCCCAATTAGTTTGGTCCCCCAGTTTCAAGAGGAATTTCTTAGATCAAGAGATTCCAAGAATAGGGACTGATAGGATGATCTTGGGTCCTTGCTTTGTCGGGTTATTTCTCAGAGGTCGCTTTTTCCATGGCTATTTCTGAAGCTAACCAGGATATGAATAGCATACGCATCTCATCAAGAGCTTGGTTTTCCCTTGCTCTACCGAACATCTAGGCCTTCATGTGGCTGGTCTTACAAAGAGAGTTCTTGTGATTGAAAATATTTAAAGGTGGGATTTATCCATATTAAACGGTGTTGCTTGAAAGCATCGACCATTTATTCCACTTTATAGCATTTTGGTTGGGGATGAGTGACTCCTCAAGCAGTTCAACAAAAATTTGTGGCATTTTTAAGCCCCCTTTGCCCTTTGTTGGGTTTTGTTTTTTGGTTGACAATGATAGAGGCCACGTTTTGGTCTATCTGGCTCAGCCAAATGCTAGGAATTTCAAAAAGCAAGGAGTCTCATGTCGAAGGGTAGGGTTGTTAATGGGCCAGCTTTGATCACTGGGTTGATCCCAACCCAACTAGGTCCTAGTTGACCAGATCCAACCCGGACCTTACCTACTTGGTTGGATCAGGTCCAGGTCTAGATAAAAGAAAAATAAAAATTTTAATTTAAATATTCTAATAATATAGAAATAGTGTTGCATATGTTCTATATACAACATGTATTCATAATATTGCATAAAAATATTGGGTTGAGTCGGTCAGGTTGATATTGGTCCGGATCCGACCTGTCTCTCTATGGTCCGTCTTGGACTCGGTCCCAAATCCACCCAAGTTAGGTCCATGTTATTTGGACCCTGACTGATCCACGGTTTCAATTGGACCCTGGTCAGGTTGACCAGTTGGGTCAGGCGGCCAGTGGGTCCATCGGACCCAATTGCCAACCCTACTAAAGCAGTAGTGGGTTGCACCAATGCTTTTGTGGTTTTTTGGCCCCCGAATCTGAAAGAATATAAGGTGTTGGGCCTGTGAATACTTCAAGTGAAATTGTATCTTTGTCCTTGGCATTCCTGAGATCGACTTATGTGTCTCTTTGGAGTTGGGCATTATTATTAAGCTTCAATGGCTGTTTACTCAGTCATTCAGGTCCATTCGAGATAGCTCATCTCAGACCTTGCTTTCATTATGACCCCGATAGGGGTAGTAACTCCCCATTTTCCCATGCATATGTGGCTGTGCCTTATTAGGATTCAGATTGTTTGGCCTTTGCTGGGTTCACTCTCTTTTAGTGGAAGAAGACGCACAGAAAGCCATCTCCTGGGCCACAAGATCCTCCCCATATCCCTGGAGATTGGATTTCATTTTTCAAACACATTTTTGCAGCGACAAGGTCCCTACGAAGTGACTTCAAACACGTGTGTAGGGAGGCCCCTGCAGATGCTGATGCTTTAGCTATGGTGGGCATTGTGACCAAAATTTTGTATCAAGTTCAACTCAGCCAGGACACTGATGCTGTTTTTTTTTTTTTGTGCAAACTGACCTAGAAATTTCTGTATAGGGGACAGAATCAACTCAGTTTTACTTTAATAAAACACTGTTAATTAGTCTAAAAACATTTGTAGGGAGTTTTTTCCTAATATGATGCTAGAATAGACCTATATTGGCTGTCCTGTCGTTAACTTGTCGTAGGTTACAAATTGTTTAAATGAAACATTGTGAGCGCCAGTTGTAGGAGCACTATAAACCCTCCTATTTGGCTCAGTCCTAATAATTGAACATGCATAAACTAATAAAAAGGACTAGGTAAACTTTTGTCTTTGCAGATGCAGGTGTAATTTCAGAGTGCTGTAGAACAGATAAAGATTCTCTATTAATATGATCATTTGACTTATTCCTTTCATCGCAATCCAAATAATTCACTGAGTCTAATGATATTGAGAGGTTTGGATGTGGAGGTCCTCTTTGATGCTGACGCCCTAGATTTTCTGAAAACATATACATCAATATCTATCTTCTAAAAAGATTAGAGGAAATCATCTTCTTTTTCAAGCACACATTAACTGGTACACCATAATTAACAATAGATATTCCATTTCAGTTGATAGGAAGTGTGAGGAATGTGATCGTTCCCTTATTCTTGCTTTTATGCAAAGGATTCTGTGCATGAGGTATTTCTTTCTTTGATAAATCTCTCAGACAATCTTGAAGGCATTGTTCTGTGGAATACATCATTCCACCGTTATCTCATTCATATGTTGTTGATGATTTTCTTGTGAGGATTATTGGAGCACTTTCAAGGTTGATATCTTTTATGATTTTGTTATTTTATCAGTACGTAATAAAATTTAGGATTTTTGAAATTTTAAGCAGTAGAATGTTAAAACAGGTATTCTGGGCTGCATTGGGGTTTAACTTGCAATAATGGTTTTCTGCATTGGATTTATGTTGTAGATATTATTAATGACAATGGAGTTATCCTACAGGGTGTAGACAAGTCTTTTTTTTTTTTTGACAAGGTTACGTAGGAATGAAACTTGAGACAAAGATTTGAGGTTAAGGCCTTCAAAAAATTAATGATTGCTTTTATTTCTGTGGACAACTGAACTGATCTGGTTTGCTGCTTGATGGGTACTTATTGTTTGAGAAGGTATGAAGTGACATATAATGGGTGATTTCCAAGATTGTGGTGATTGATGTGATGGTCAAAATGTGTAGCTACTGCCTGTAATTGAGTTCATCATATTTTAAGGTTCTGGGTTCTTCTTACTGATTCAAGTATTCTTGGCATGTAGAATGCACAACTTCTGGAGCCCAACTCAGCTTTATGCAAAGTTTACGCTAGTGATAATATTTACATTGCAAGGTTGGTTCTTGCTGTTCAAACCTCTAAATGCATGTCGTCATTCATGTTATGAATTTATAGGAAAAATAAGTTTGTAGGTGATCTTGCAGGTGCTGTATAAAGGGGTCTCTTCTCGAAGTAAATAATAGGCTAATTAAGGAACCTGGATTACTCAACAGCTCTGTATGTACACCATCTTTTTAACTTTGTTGAAAGATTAAATATAGGCTAATGCAGCATGCACTGTTTTTGGAGTCTATCCAAAATCTTGTATATTTCGTCTTGGTCGAGTTCTATTTTTATTAGAGCTTGGAGTTTTAGAGGATTATTTCTTTCTTATATTCGTTTTGCTTGGAACTTTTTAGAAGAGGAATGTTATTTTATAATATTGACCTAATGACATAATTAGTTGATGTTGAAGATATGAATATTCACATTGCAATTCTTGCTCAATTTTCTAAATATTTTGAATCGAATATGCCTCCCTATTAGACATTCTTCCTTGCAGGCTTAATAATCCATTGCATATTTTTTAGTATATCCTTTTGCCTCTAAGGAATCTTTAAATGTGTCAGTGGGTACATTTACCAATCTTTGGTGCAGACCCCCAGACAGCCAACTGGAGATATTTGAGGCGATCCCATGTATTATATTTGAACTGTTATGTTTGGAAGTATTGTTGACTTTATTGCTTGGAAATATGGAAGAAGAAGATCAGTCTCCAAAGTTTTCTGAGAGAACATGGAACTTATAGATCCTTTCATGAATATTTATATTTTGTTCCATGTCCAATATGCTTGTAGATTTAATACAATCCTAAGAGTACAATATATTGTTGAATAGAAAAAGGACAATAGTTGTTACAAATATAGACAACTCAAGAGTTGCATTATAATATCCATAAGTACACAGCCAAAGTACCAACATACACATGCGCTCCCATAAATTTTATGCATCAATGTTAGACCAAGCCCGGGTAAAGGAGGTGGTTTGTGTTAGGTAGGCAGCCAACATAAAACTTTGCCACAATTATCCATGATGAATAATGTTAGACATGCCCAACTCACTAATTATGCTTGGAATGTGACCTTTTTTCACATGCCCTGTTGAATATTATTGCAAGCCTATCCGCTGAACTCATTCATTTTTATTGTGTATAATGGTAGTCCATCTGAATATATTTAGATCACTCACAAAAATACTGGGTCAGTGGGTCTATGAATCACAACTTGGTTTTCACAGTACTTAGAAGTGGCCTGTGGACTCCATGTATCATGTGCCAAAATAGCAGTCCAATCCAGATGACTTTGCATGTTGTTATTGCAGAACTATATTGTGCATCTCACTCTTCCATCTAAAAGGTTGCCACTAAAAGGCGTCTAAAAATTGTGATCTACAACCTGCCAACCAAACAACTAGCCTAATGGAATATGAATGTCCAGCAACATCTAGGCTAGAACTCAGTGACAGATGAATGAATGCCTTCTACCAGGAGCATGTTTCGATTATGAATCTATCATATCCATGGATCGAGGTGCCTGAATAAATTGCTCTTAATAGTAACTTCATACGTCATTTTGGGTCTGGCGATCATAACATATGTAAGTCTTCCCATCAATCTCCGATAGCGCCTAATATCCTCTAGGGTGTTCCAAAGTTTCCCTATCACCATCTTGTTTGAAACTGGGTTATATTGCAGAAGCAATAGGCTTGATGAAAAACTTGTGTAATTGAAAGTTCCAAAAAAAAAGCTTGTGTGTAAGTGAAAGTCCTAATTTTGTAAATTAGAAATATAAAATAAAAGACCCACACCCAAGTTTCATAGTTTTGTGTCTGCTATCCTAATCATTATTTATTTTCCTACCCCAACCCCACGGTTTGTAGCCACATGTTCGAATCCTTTGAACTGTAGGCCCCACCGCCTCTCCACACCTCTGGCTATGTCGAGGAAAGCCAAGCAGCTTGCTATGTTGTGTGTGTGTGCTTTGCTTCACTCTTGAAGCCTATCTCAAAGAAAAGACAGTAAAGCCAAAAGCAGGGTGGGTTTTGCTTCGTGTTCGTCGATCGGGTGGTGGGGGCAGGGTGGTTGAGAAGTGGTGTAGTGCAGTCTGGTCAGCACATTTGTTTTGGGTACACAAAGGGCAAAAGGTTTGAATCCTGTCACCTTGATGTGAAGCAGCTAGTTCCTAGACTGCTTTTGGGAACAACACAGTCTTCCATCCGGGACTTTTGATGAGCAGAACGGGTGCATATTTGTTGGAGAGATAGAAACTCCTTGTGTAGACTTTGCCACCTCAATGTCCAGAAAATATTTTGGTGACCTAAGTGTTGTACGTCAGTTTTTATGTACTTGTATTCTCAAATCACATAAGGAGAGAGCCAGTAACAACTTGATCCTGCCAGTACCCAAGACACTGTCAGACCATGGAAACACTGTAAAATAAGCCTAAAACTGGGCAACCTTGGAAAAAGAGCTAGAATGGCTTTGAAAGTCATGAAAAGGGTAGTTTGGGATGCCCGAAGGACACTCGCAAAGTTTCGTCACATTCCGATAAGATTTGACACGATCAAAATGAAATTCGGTTCTCAATATCAGTTTCTATCACGTTGAAAAGGGACTTTATAATTACAGCCCTATGCAAGGGCTTCAAAATAATACCAGACCACCGCCATTGCATTCAGAACGTCGAAAAACCCCGAAGGACCAAATTTGGGCTCAATCGGACCTCATAGGAACGTTTTGGGCCCAAATTACCACAAAAGGGTAGGTTTTACACTATTATGGTGCGATCTCATCAAACCAGTTTCTAATCTTGGGACTGTGTTTTCACATCTCGGGATGATCTTCAAGAACCCATTGGTCGCGCGTTTGGAATTGGAACAAGCTCAAATTCGGACACAAGCTAAGTCTCGACGACTTGATCATTTTGACATATGGCGCGTGTCATGACGTGACCTAGAACCAAATATTTTCTAGAGTGAAGATGAGCCCGAAACCATGAAAATCAGAGTTTTCAATAAAGACATCCCAAGCTTTGTGAAGCGATAACTTGAGATCCGTGTATCGGATCATCACAAAATCGGGTCCGATGCGATCGTGTCACGAAGGGCTACAAACTAGTACAAGCTTTTGCACTCAATTGAAGGTCGGATAGTGCAAATTCCAAGGTTGAAGATGGCAAAGATTTTCCCGGTCACCGGAATCCCCTTTTTCGGTGACCTCCATAAATACTTCAAGCAAGAACCAAATCGGACAAAACTTGGTGCAAAGCGATTGTGACAGTCTCCTCTTTAATTTGCAATCAAAATGCAGATTCAGAACACCATGAATCGCATTGCATTGACGACCAAAGATCGCAACCTAGCCGGATTTATACCTTTAGGAAAAAGTCCATCTCAAGACGATCAAAAGACATCAAAATGTTCAGAATCAAGCAAGCATCAAGTCTATGATGATGGATCATCCATATCACTGCCACAAGTACTCGAAAAAGTCCTAAATTCGGGATTTTATTGTAATTTCTTTTAATTATAATTTGGCTTAGTTTTGAGCATCCATCCTTGTTTGGTGGGTTCTTTATATAAACAAGCTTAGGTCAATTGTTAAAGGGATGAATTATTCGTTAATGAGATTGAGGCATTAGCTGGACTTTGCTTCTAATTCTTGGATCCAGTGGAGAGGAGAGAGAAAACTTTTAGAGAGAGAGAAGTTACCCTTAGCCCAGGTACCTTAGCCTACCCACGGCTAACGTGCACCAACAGTGACTTGTAGCAGACCTACTGTCATGCCTTTCTCTCTGCACCCTTTCTCTGTTTTCATTGCGTGATAAGTTTCGAAGCCACAACACCTACGACCCCGTCTCTCTTTCGACGTCTTTCTCTCTTCCGCCTTGCGTAGTAACTTGGAACTGCAGCAGACGTGCGGTCTTGTCTCTCTCTCTCTCTCTACGCCTTTCTCGCCTTCATCGCGTGATAGGTTTGGAGTCGCAACACCTGCGACCCCGTCTCTCTTTCCGTGTCTCTCTCTTTCCTTCGCCTAGTAATTCGGAACCGCAACAGACCTGCAGTCCCGTCTCTCTTTCTCTACGCCTTTCTCGCCTTCATCACGTGATAGGTTTTGGAGCCGCAGCACCTGCGACCCCGTCTCTCTTTCCGCGTCTCTCTCTCTCTCTTTGCTTCACCTAGTAACTCGGAACCGTAGCAGACCTGCACTCCCGTCTCTCTCTCTACACCTGTCTCGCCTTCATCGCGTGATAGGTTTCAGAGCCACAGTACCTACGAACCCGTCTCTCTTTCCGTGTCTCTCTCTTTGCTTCATCTAGTAACTCGGAACCACAGTAGACCTGCGGTCCCATCTCTCTCTCACAGCGCTTTACTCCTTTCATCTCGATATTTGCCATATGCTCGATTCGATATCTTTCAGAGCTATCTTAAGAATTCCAACTCTCAGACCACCACTCTAACTTCCTCTCCGTACAGTCAAGCCGAGTTGTGAGAGATGCATACGCTCTCCCCCTTGCTCACTCGGGTGGAGTTTTCCTGAGTCGGTAATCAAGAGAGTTCCAATTCTTTAGCTGCTCTAATCGCCGAAGCCCATAGCGTTTGCGTGGGTAGAGAGGTTCCTGTCTTTACTTTTCCCCACATTCTTTCCTTTGCCAGCCAATCATTGTTCAAGTGAACCAATACAGAGGGGTATTTTCGAGTGCACATTGCATGTTCGGAAGTAAGAAAAAGAGACGAGACGACGCATTAAAGTTTGAGGAGAGTTCTTATCCAAACCGTGCTGGCAAATAGCCGGAGGGCTTCGTGATTGTTCTAAGAGGGCGTCTGCCTGGGTCTATCCGCGAATCCGCAAACGGCGAGGTAAGCGCCTTAAACATATTTTCGTCGAAAAATCTCTCTTGTTGTTGGTTCCTATCCACATAAAGAGGAGCACACGCATACACCTAAAATACATCCCCCGCGTGCACCCTGCGCAGTTGTTTGAGAGAAGGTTTTCTCTTGCCAAGAAAACGAGGCCCCGATCACTAAGCCACAAATATCCAACGTCTGATGCTCATATAACTTGAGTACGAATGTGCACCCCATTGTCCTTATTGAGGACAATGTCATCCACAGACCAAAAGGCGAAACTACAATTGTACGTTGTGGTCTTCATTTGATGAGGATTAAATAATTTGCTT